AGCTTTCAACATGCCAGTATTTGTGCAAACTTTTTAAAGAAATGCTGGTATAAATAATACAATACGTCAAATTATGAATTAATTTTTTTCCAGAGGTGGTTGCATTGCTGTGAAAAACAGTTGTACTGTACTAGAGTGCTATAAAAAATTACATTCCCAAATGTAGCATGTTTTTTACAGGGGGACTCTTATTTTTGTTTTAATCATCTGTGATCATGCTGCCAGTATAATATCCTACTGCTAGGAGAATGGTAATCCTCTGGACTGGGTCCAGAGCATGGCTGGGGGGCTGGGCTGGAGACTGGGAGTGATTTTCATGTCATAGGGTGGGGTTCAAATCCATTTCCATTCATACCCCATTCACGAAGTGTATTGAAATTATATTTATGAACAAACAACTAAATGACTACTTATAAACATTAAATTGACCCCCAACTCTGTTTCATTTTAAAGTTTTGATGATATTTTCAGTCCTGAAGTTGAACCTGTAAGTGACAGTTCGACATTAACTGGGGGGGGGGGGTCCAAATGAAGGTGTTATAAAAAAAAAAGCGCCCCCATCCCCAACATTACAAATATTTTCACATGACCCTCCCTTTATTCTGTAAAAAAAAAATTGCACACTCTCCCCCCTCATAGAATTAACTCCAAATAATGTTTATGACCGCAAATAACAATAATTGTGGTGACCCTGTGTTTATAAAGGTGGATATTGACTTTGCCACTTCAGCATGCTTTTGTGGCACAATCACCTTGTTCGAGAGTGATTTACACGGTTATCAAAACGTCAAGCCAGGGTAAACCCTTATTTTAAGTGTTTCTAAAATCCCCTATAGGAAAAATGAATGGTGTAAAAATTATTTGAACCATTTCCCTGTTTGACCGCTAGATGTATGGGTATTGTTACACCTCCACTGTGGGGCTCTATAGCCTGATGAGATTATTATGGACAATAGTTCGAGATTATTTTTATTTGTCAAACAGTAGCCATGCATCGATCATCATGTCACCAGAATAAGACCCTTGAAATTTATTGAAAGGAGCATAAAGCTCATCACCGTGAACTTTCACCACCCTGTGAATTTCACCACTAATGTATTTAATATGTAGCATGCTTTCCCATGATGTCATTACATTTTTTATCTGACATGTACTTTACTCCCATAAAAAGGTTGGATGGAAACCTGGTTGATGTCAAGCTATTTTGAAGATGTTGGAATTATATTTTGGACGAACATGCGCATGCCTACAGGAGACTTCTGAAGTAGCCTAATCAGATTAAAACATTGTGACTGGCTGTGTTTATGCCACATATAAAAGGTAATAGTTAAATGATAAATATTTAGGCTATATGGGCCTGCCGGGAGCATATGTGGCCACATTATTATAGGACAACTTGGGAGAATGATGATCTGCAACAGAAAACGCATCTGAGCATCAGAAGTAAAAATACAGTCAGACTGGCCTACTACTATGCCTTTCTAGACCTTATAAACTGTCGGGGGGCGTGGTCAGCATTTGCTCTCCATTGAAGTAAATAGACATTTTTGCAATTCCGGTGATTGAGCCAGTGGTGAAGTCACGTTAATCGGAGTATCTTGAAACCCTCTGGAGTGTACACGACGATTTAGGAAAACATATATTTAGGGAGAATCGATTGGTAAGTTACAGTAGGCAAGATAAAAATATGTGTTTCTTGTTTGTGGTTGTTATGGACATAGCTAGCGTAACGTAAACATTTGATTTTTCCAGCAGCAAGCTTAAACTAGCATACTGTAGCTAATTTGGTTGAGGCGGGGGCATGGAGTAGCAAGTTAGCTACTGGGAGACAGAATAGGGTGGGTCAGTATGGGTGACAGAATAGACTAGAGCACACGGCTATGGTAAATGCACTAGCCTGTTACGTTAGCTAGCTAACGTTAGATATCTGTATTCAACATTCACATTGTTGAAGTAGCTAGCTAGCTATAGTAACCACAAACAGTAGAGAAACAATCTCTGTGGTAACTATGTAACAGTAGCTAGCTGTAACATCTTGGCAGACGGTAACTATTCTATTGTATCTCCCGGCATTAGCCATGGATTCACGAACGACACTGTTGAAGAATCCACATGGCTAATTTAGCCTCCCATCATTCTGCTTCGATCCCAGATGAGATGGAACGCCTCTGTCCATTTCTGGCAAATAACGTTCTCTCTAAACTTTAGTCTGTTCTATACCCACCCAGACTGTCACTTTTTCTCAAGTTGATTGTCCTACTTTTTCTCTGCACAAGTACTAACCACAACAGTAACTGCCATCTAGTTACCACAACACATCCTCTGTTATTCCACTGGCTTGTACATTTCGTTATAAACAGTAAGTAAAGTATCAAAGGCAAAGTGTGGGAAGTTGGGTAGGGTCTGCCAATTGGGTCTTTGGCTTGGGTGATTGACGTAAACAATGTTAATTGCAGCGCCACACTACTGTGCCAGATCGATGAACAACTGACCGTCAGACACACAACTTGAGACACTAGGCCTACTTCATCATGTATATTTACATTTAAACGTTATTTTAGTTTTAAGATCTCAAGGCTGTGTTTACATTTAGGATTGAATGTGCAGCTGTGCTCTTGACCTAGGCCAAAGCTATTTGGAATTGGAACTAGCAGCAAAATACTAGTACTAATCCAATGCGTCTTGAATGATTAGGCCAACCAAGTGGAGACTGTCTAATGTTGACAATCTTCTCTTACAGCTCTTAGGCCCAAATCAAGATGTTCCACACATGTGGACCCAATGAAGCCATGGTGGTGTCTGGTAAGATATTTTGTTTTATGTGTTCATATTGATTAACATGATCTTATATGACACAATACAGACAGGAAAAACAGGTTGCCCAACCTACCCCCATTGCCCTAAATGGTCCAATATTGTTATGACTCACTTTTCTTGAAACTGTAATAGGCCTATGTTGTATACTGTATGTGATTGTTTACAGTACAAGTAACAGTAAATGTAATGTAGGGCCAAGTGACATGTGACTCACTTTAGCCTATCCTCAAGTGTCATGTGATACCACTGAGCAACTCTGGGCCACTTTCAGTTGTCAAACTTTGCAGATAGAAAAGTCATTAATAGAGCCAACATGATTCCTTGGTCTATATGTCGGAGAGGCATGTTTGTTCTATATTATATATTTATATCTGAATGTTCCAAAACGTTGTGTCCTGCTGAATGCGCCCCGGATGTCACAGTGTGTACTAAACCAGGACAGGAATCTGTAATCAGGTTCAGCTCAAACAGTACAGTACTTTGTTTACATTTCACAATACCAGCTGTCAATATGCTAGCTCCTTACTTGCATTGTATTGTGTGGAATGTGGTGCTGCAATGTAGTCCTATATGTAGGCTAATTAATATATGTCATAGACTCACTGTGTACATTACATCTTAATTGTGTGCAGTACTGTGTTGAGAGAGTATAGCCTAATGTAATTTCATCTCTCATATTTTCAAGTAACCCACTCCTTTTTAGTATACAGTGCTATGAAAAAGTATTTGCCCCCTTTCTAATTTTCTCTACTTTTGCATATTTGTGATACTGAATGTTATCAGATCTTCAACCAAAACCTAATATTAGATAAAGGGAACATAAGTGAACAAATAACACAACAATTACATATTTATTTCATAAACAAAGTTATGCAACACCCAATTCCCCTGTGTGAAAAAGTAATTGCCCCCTTACACTCAATAACTGGTTGTGCCACCTTTAGCTGCAATGACTCCAACCAAATGCTTCCTGTAGTTGTTGATCAGTCTCTCACGTTGCTGTGGAGGAATTTTGGCCCACTCTTCCATGCAGAACTGCTTTAACTCAGTGACGTGTGGGTTTTCAAGCATGAACTGCTCGTTTCAAGTCCTGCCACAACATCTCAATTGGGATTAGGTCTGGACTTTGACTAGGCCATTCTAAAACTTCCAATTTGTTGCTTTTTAGCAAATTTCATGTAGACTTGATTGTGTGTTTTGGATCATTGTCTTGCTGCATGACCCAGCTGCGCTTCAGCTTCAGCTCACAGACGGATGTGAGCTTCTATTAAGGCAAGTCGTCCAGGTCCTGAGGCAGCAAAGCATTCCCAAACCATCACACCACCATGCTTGACCTTTGGTATGATGTTCTTACTGTGGAATGCAGAGTTTGGTTTTCGCCAGGCATTACTGGAACCATGTCGTCCAAAAAGTTATACTTTTGAATCATCTGTCCATAGAACGTTCTTCCAAGAGTCTTGATGATCATCCAGGTGCTTTTTGGCAAACTTGAGTCAACTTTTTGGACGGGATGGGTCCCATTATGCCTGGCGAAAACCAAACATTGCATTCCACAGTAAGAACATCATACCAAAGGTCAAGCATGGTGGTGGTGGTGTGATGGTTTGGGGATGCTTTGCTGCCTCAGGACCTGGACGACTTGCCTTAATAGAAAGAACCATGAATTCTGCTCTGTATCAGAGAATTCTACAGGAGAATGTCAGACCATCCGTCTGTGAGCTGAAGCTGAAGCGCAGCTGGGTCATGCAGCAAGACAATGATCCAAAACACACAATCAAGTCTACATGAAAATAGTTAAAAAGCAACAAATTGGAAGTTTTAGAATGGCCTAGTCAAAGTCCAGACCTAATCCCAATTGAGATGTTGTGGCAGGACTTGAAATGAGCAGTTCATGCTTGAAAACCCACACGTCACTGAGTTAAAGCAGTTCTGCATGGAAGAGTGGGCCAAAATTCCTCCACAGCAACGTGAGAGACTGATCAACAACTACAGGAAGCATTTGGTTGGAGTCATTGCAGCTAAAGGTGGCACAACCAGTTATTGAGTGTAAGGGGGCAATTACTTTTTCACACAGGGGAATTGGGTGTTGCATAACTTAAGTATTTTTACTTTTCTCTGTCAAAGTCTGATTGCCCCCTCTCTTCTTCGCTTCTCCTCCAGGCTTTGGTCGTTCCCCTCCTCTAATGATCGCTGGAGGAAGAGTATTTGTCCTCCCCTGTATTCAACAGATCCAGAGGTAGCTATCTCTCCCTCCCCTTCTTCTTTCAGTTATCTATCCATCCACTCATCCATCCAGGTTTCATTCAGGGATTCTGTTAATGTGTAGAGAAAAAGGCCCCATAGTCCCTGTGTATTCTGTACTGTTACTGTAACGTTAGTGTTTAAATGAATAAGCCTATATGAATACCAGGCTGCTATTTTAAGCTTATAATGCAACACCATCTATCTGTCATTTGTAGCCTCCACCTGTAGTCGTGGTTACTCTCTCTGTCTGACTGACTTTCTCCTCCCTCTCGCTATCCCCCCTCTATTCTCACTGTACTTTCCCTCTTTGAACCACATACCCTCTTCTTTCTCTCTCTCTGTCTCTGTCTCTCTGTTAGGATCACCCTGAACACCCTGACTCTGAATGTGAAGAGTGATAAGGTGTACACCCGCCATGGAGTGCCCATCTCTGTCACTGGCATCGCCCAGGTATGGACTCCTAGCACCTACACACTTTGTGTACATGTGAAAGTAGCCATGTATCCTGATTGGATAGGTATATTTGACCTCACATGGAATCCCTATTTGACCTATGTGACCTTTGACCTCTAACCCCTGACCTCTGGCAGGTGAAGATCCAGGGTCAGAACAAGGAGATGCTGGCCACGGCCTGTCAGATGTTCATGGGGAAGTCTGAGGCTGAGGTCTCCAACATCGCCCTGGAAACACTGGAGGGGCACCAGAGGGCCATCATCGCCCATCTGACTGTTGAGGTAGGCTACACACACACCACACCATGTCCTGATAAAGGGCATGTGTTGCCTCTGGTGCCCTTTTCTCTTCCAAAAGGATTGCCTTGGTCTTTTGAATTGACTATCACTGAATGTCTCACTGACTTGAAGCTACAAGCCATAGCTTGTTTTTCTCATCGTTGACCTTTCTCATGACTTAGCTAAAAGGCTGGCAAACCTGCCTGGCAACTGAGAGCAGTAATGGATTATAGTTATTATAATGTAGTGAATAGTAAGAGCATAGTAATAACAAGTGTCCTTTCATTCCCCTGGTCTGTGGTTTTACTTCATGTGTAGCTCTGGCTGATCTCCTCTGTATTCCCCCCCATAGATACAGAAATACTAGAAGGGACAAAGCCCCTCAGACCAGGGCAATTTGACAGGAACACTCATGGGTATACTCGTTATGGCCGGTCCACCCATCTCCCCCGTGGTCCTGTGTGGCTCAGTTAGTAGAGCATGGCGCTTGCAACACCAGGGTTCATGGGTTCGATCCCCATTGGGGCCACCAATACGAAAATGTATAAAAGTGTCTGCTAAATGTATGTATATTATATATGATTATTGTCCTTCCCCTGTAGGAGATCTACCAGGACCGTAAGAAGTTCTCTGAGCAGGTGTTCAAGGTGGCCTCCTCTGACCTGGTCAACATGGGCATCGGCGTGGTTAGCTACACACTGAAAGATGTTCACGACGACCAGGTTTGTTCTCTCTCCTGTCTCTCTCACTAACACTCTGACAAATATACAGAGATGTTACAGTCACACAAGGATTGTTACAGAAAACAGGCGCAGATTTTGTAAAATGTTTTTTAAAAATTTATTTTAAAAGTCAGTGTTCGAGAATGCAAGACAAATTCCTGCACAAAAATACTTGTGTATTGTTCTGTTTATGTTGGTAACCAGTTTATAATAGCAATAAGTCCCAAGGGGGTGTGGTATATGGCCAATATATCACGACTAAGGGCTGTTCTTAGACACGACCCGAAGCGTAGTGCCTGCATACAGCCCTTAGCCGTGGTATATTGGCCATGTACCACAAACCCCTGAGGTGCCTTATTGATATTATAAACTGGTTACCAACATAATAGAACAGTAAACAAGTATTTTTGTGTATATTGTCTGATATACACACGGCTGAAATGCTGTTTCAGCCAATCAGCATGCAGGACCCAAACTAGCAGGTTTCTAATAATAACAACACGGTCTCTGTCAGGACTACCTCAACTCCCTGGGTAAAGCTAGGACAGCTCAGGTGCAGAAGGATGCCAGGATCGGCGAGGCTCAGTACAAACGAGACGCGGTGATCCGGGAGGCCCAGGCCATGCAGGAGAAGGTGTCAGCCCAGTATGTGAATGAGATCGAGATGGCCAAAGCCCAGAGAGACTACGAGCTGAAGAAGGCCTCCTACGACTATGAGGTCAACACCAAGAAGGCCGAGTCTGAGATGGCCTATCAGCTGCAGGTATCCTATCACCAAACTCTGGGCTGTGCAATGATCCTCTCATTCAGACACCCAACACAGCCGATGTAGTGTGTTGTGTTCTAATAACGGATAATATTCACGTTTATTAACACAGGGCAGAATCCTAACTTGAGAAGCGAGAAGGATCCTCAAGTTCCCACCACTGCTGTCACTTTTTATGTAAAGTGTCTTTGGGTGTTTTTTCTAAATCCATTTGATTATTGGGATTATCTAGGTGGCGAAGACGAAGCAGCGTATTGAGGAGGAGACGATGCAGGTGAAGGTGGTGGAGAGGTCTCAGCAGATCCTGCTGCAGGAGCAGGAGATCACCCGCAAGGAGATGGAGCTGGAGGCTAAGGTGAAGAAGCCGGCTGAGGCAGAGAGATACCGCCTGGAGAGACTGGCTGAGGCTGAACGGTATGGTACAATACCTGCATGCTCCAGTTTTCACAAGAAAGTTGTCAGTTATAAAAACTAAACTTGAGGTGAGAATGTACAGTGGGGAAAAAAAGTATTTAGTCAGCCACCAATTGTGCAAGTTCTCCCACTTAAAAAGATAAGAGAGGCCTGTAATTTTCATCATAGGTACACGTCAACTATGACAGACAAATTGAGAAAAACATTTCCAGAAAATCACATTGTAGGATTTTTAATGAATTTATTTGCAAATTATGGTGGAAAATAAGTATTTGGTCACCTACAAACAAGCAAGATTTCTGGCTCTCACAGACCTGTAACTTCTTCTTTAAGAGGCTCCTCTGTCCTCCACTCGTTACCTGTATTAATGGCACCTGTTTGGACTTGTTATCAGTATAAAAGACACCTGTCCACAACCTCAAACAGTCACACTCCAAACTCCACTATGGCCAAGACCAAAGAGCTGTCAAAGGACACCAGAAACAAAATTGTAGACCTGCACCAGGCTGGGAAGACTGAATCTGCAATAGGTAAGCAGCTTGGTTTGAAGAAATCAACTGTGGGAGCAATTATTAGGAAATGGAAGACATACAAGACCACTGATAATCTCCCTCGATCTGGGGCTCCACGCAAGATCTCACCCCGTGTGGTCAAAATGATCACAAGAACGGTGAGCAAAAATCCCAGAACCACACGGGGGGACCTAGTGAATGACCTGCAGAGAGCTGGGACCAAAGTAACAAAGCCTACCATCAGTAACACACTACGCCGCCAGGGACTCAAATCCTGCAGTGCCAGACGTGTCCCCCTGCTTAAGCCAGTACATGTCCAGGCCTGTCTGAAGTTTGCTAGAGTGCATTTGGATGATCCAGAAGAGGATTGGGAGAATGTCATATGGTCAGATGAAACCAAAATAGAACTTTTTGGTAAAAACTCAACTCGTTGTTTTTGGAGGACAAAGAATGTTGAGTTGCATCCAAAGAACACCATACCTACTGTGAAGCATGGGGGTGGAAACATCAAGCTTTGGGGCTGTTTTTCTGCAAAGGGACCAGGACGACTGATCCGTGTGAAGGAAAGAATGAATGGGGCCATGTATCGTGAGATTTTGAGTGAAAACCTCCTTCCATCAGCAAGGGCATTGAAGATGAAACGTGGCTGGGTCTTTCAGCATGACAATGATCCCAAACACACCGCCCGGGCAACGAAGGAGTGGCTTCGTAAGAAGCATTTCAAGGTCCTGGAGTGGCCTAGCCAGTCTCCAGATCTCAACCCCATAGAAAATCTTTGGAGGGAGTTGAAAGTCCGTGTTGCCCAGCGACAGCCCCAAAACATCACTGCTCTAGAGGAGATCTGCATGGAGGAATGGGCCAAAATACCAGCAACAGTGTGTGAAAACCTTGTGAAGACTTACAGAAAACGTTTGACCTGTGTCATTGCCAACAAAGGGTATATAACAAAGTATTGAGAAACTTTTGTTATTGACCAAATACTTATTTTCCACCATAATTTGCAAATAAATTCATTAAAAATCCTACAATGTGATTTTCTGGATTTTTTTTCTTCTCATTTTGTCTGTCATAGTTGACGTGTACCTATGATGAAAATAAAATGGGAGAACTTGCACAATTGGTGGCTGACTAAATACTTTCCCCCCCCACTGTACTTATCCTCCCGCAAACTTTAGAGCATGCATATGCAATGTTTCTAGTGGTTGAAGTATTGCATTGCAAAAAGGCAAAAGTAGCCTTGTGCAAATGGAGAATATATGATGACACTCTTATTCATAACAAAAAAAACAAGTAGCCAAATATAATAAGATGCAATCATTTGCTGTTAGTGAGAAGAGCAAAAATGTATTTATTCTGGCCATGAGTTAATATTCCCGAAGGAGCAATACAACAAATGACCATGCGCATCTCTCATTTCATTGGACCTAATATATAGGCTCTTATAATTTCTAGTTTTTGCTCTAGCCTATGCATCCAACAGGGAGCGCAGTTTATAACATACAGGTGAACAGACCGTTGATCCAAAGAATGTACAGTATGAAACTCTGTGGTTGATCTTTTGCATTGAAGTGTGTAGGCTACCACTGTAAGTAGACCTACTGTATTTGTAATTTTTCTCCGGGTACACCATGTTTCAGAATTCACGGGCAGTGCAGCATATTTATGTTCGGGAAAAAGTGAATGCAAAACATTATTGCGTTCAAACGATCTGTTTACAGGTCCACAACCATTTGCAATTGTTCAGATACAGCACCACCAGGACATTTGATCAAGTTCACCATTGCTATTTCCTTTAGATACTGTTTTGGCCTAATTCCAATACTTCTAAAGTATACAGCAAATAAGGGCCTTATTGTCACCATAAAGGGGGAATGATGGGCGTTTTTCAGGCGGAGTTATAATGCTTGTTCACGCACACAGTTTTAGGATCTGATTTATAACTGGAAACATGCTAATGTATGGCCTGCGGCAAGTTTATAAATGTCAATATTTTGTGCCTGCGCAGTGTTTTCAGAAATGGCGCACGCAGATATTCAGTGTTCAATTTACGCAACGGTTATAAATTAGGTCCCTAGCGTCCAGCATCAGGCGATCACCGCTGGGACACGGCAGAATCCCAATCAGAACTGTGGGTATGTTCTGTTCCGTAGTAGTCACAGTAGTCCTGGGCAGTGAGTCCTGCTAAAGGTTAAACTGAGGAAGATACTTTCTAGTGATTTTACATTTTAGTCATTTAGCAGACGCTCTTATCCAGAGCGACTTACAGTTAGTGAGTGCATACATTTTCATACTGGCCCTCCGTGGGAATCGAACCCACAACCCTGGCGTTGCAAGCGCCATGCTCTACCAACTGAGCTACACAGGGCCAACATTTGCTCAGTTCAGCTCAACTCCAACTGTCTCTCTCCTTCTCTGTCTCTCTCTCTTTCACAGTGCACAGCTCATCATGGAGGCTGAGGCAGAGGCCGAGTCCATCAGAGTGAGTTCAGCATCGTCTCCCTTCTCTCCTCTCCCTTCTTCTCTCCTCTGTCACTCCCCTCCACTCTCCTGTCATTCCTGTTATCAGTCTCTTCACCCCCAGTACAATAGCTGGCTGATACCCCCCCTGACAGCCTGTCCCTTCCACCCTCTCATTCACCCTCTTGCTCTTGCTCTCCCTCCCTCCCTCCCTCCCTCCATATTGAGGTTGGTGTTCTCTGTTCCTCTTCCCGTCTCTATTCTAACTTCCCTGTCTCCCTCTTTGTATACATCGCTCACTTCCCTTAATACAACCTTACCTTTGGATAAGTTATCTCTCTTTCTTCATGTGTTTCATATATTATACACATCCTTATTAACCAGTCCATTTGCCATTTGGATATATTTTTCATAGAATAACCCCCCCACCTGTGTCTCGTAGTTCAGATGCATTGGGATATACACTCAGTGGCCAGGAAAATTGATCGCTCCTACAGACAGTGAGTCACGTGGCCGTGGCTTGCTATATAAAGCAGGCAGACAGGCATCCAGTTACTGTTCGATTGAACGTTAGAATGGACAAAACAAGTGACCTAAGCGACTTTGAGCGTGGTATGGTATCTCTGAAACGGCCGCACTCCTGGGCTTTTCACGCACGACAGTGTTTAGGGTTTACCGAGAATGGTACGACAAAAAAAACAACATCCAGTCAGCGGCAGTCCTGTGGACGAAAACTGCTCATTAATGAGAGGTCGAAGGAGAATGGTAATAATCGTGCAAGCTAACAGGCGGGCCATAAACAGGCAAATAACGGCGCAGTACAACAGTGGTGTACAGAACGGCATCTCGGAAGGCACAACTCGTCGGTCCTTGTCACAGATGGGTTTTGCAGCAGACGACCACACCAGGTTCCACTCCTATCAGCTAAAAACAAGAAGAAGGGGCTCCAGTGCGCACACGATCACCAACACTGGACAATTGAGGAGTGGAAAAACATAGCCTGGTCCGACGAATCCCGGTTCCTGTTGCGTCATGCTGATCGCAGAGTCAGGATTTGGCGTAAGTAGCATGAGTCCATGGCTTCATTCTGCCTGGTGTCAACGGTACAGGTTGGTGGCGGTGGTGTAATGGTGTGGAGAATGTTTTCCTGGCACACATTAGGTCCCTTGATACCAATCGAGCAACTTTGCCATGCCCCGAAGAATTCAGGCTGTTCTGGACCCGACCCGGTACTAAACTCAGCAAAAAAAGAAGTTTCCCTTATTCAGGACCCTGTCTTTCAAAGCTAATTTGTAAAAATCAAAATAACTTCACAGATCTTCATTGTAAGGGGTTTAAACACTCTTTCCCATGCTTGTTCAATGAACCATAAACAATTAATGGACATGCACCTGTGGAACGGTCGTTAAGACACTAACACTAAGACACAGTTATGAAAACTTAGGACACTAAAGAGGCCTTTCTACTGACTCTGAAAAACACCAAAAGAAAGATGCCCAGGGTCCCTGCTCATCTGCGTGAACGTGCCTTAGGCATGCTGCAAAGAGGCATGAGGACTGCAGATGTGGCCAGAGCAATAAATTGCAATGTCCGTACTGTGAGACGCCTAAGACAGCGCTACAGGGAGACAGGACGGACAGCTGATCGCCCTCGCAGTGGCAGACCACGTGTAACAACACCTGCACAGGATCGGTACATCCGAACCTCACACCTGCGGGACAGGTACAGGATGGCAACAACAACTGCCCGAGTTACACCAGGAACGCACAATTCTTCCATCCGTACTCAGACTGTCCGCAATAAGCTGAGAGAGGCTGGACTGAGGGCTTGTAGGCCTGTTGTAAGGCAGGTCCTCACCAGACATCACCGGCAAAAACGTCGCCTATGGGCGCACACCCACCGCCGCTGTACCAGACAGCACTGTCAAAAAGTGCTCGCGGTTTTGTCTCACCAGGGGTGATGGTCTGATTCACGTTTATCGTCGAAGGAATGAGCATTACACCGAGGTCTGTACTCTGGAGCGGGATCGATTTAGAGGTGGAGGGTCCGTCATGGTCTGGGGCGGTGTGTAACAGCATCATCGGACTGAGCTTGTTGTCATTGCAGGCAATCTCAATGCTGTGCGTTACAGGGAAGACATCTTCCTCCCTCATATGGTACCCTTCCTGCAGGCTCATCCTGACATGACCCTCCAGCATGACAATGCCACCAGCCATACTGCTCGTTCTGTGCGAGATTTCCTGCAAGACAGGAATGTCAGTGTTCTGCCATGGCCAGCGAAGAGCCCGGATCTCAATCCCATTGAGAATGTCTGGGACCTGTTGGATCGGAGGGTGAGGGCTAGGCCATTTCCCCCCCAGAAATGTCTGGGAACTTGCAGGTGTCTTGGTGGAAGAGTGGGGTAACATCTCACAGCAAGAACTGGCAAATCTGGTGCAGTCCATGAGGAGGAGATACACTGCAGTACTTAATGCACCTGGTGGCCACACCAGATACTTCCCCTTTGTTCAGGGACACGTTATTCAATTTCCATGTCTGTGGAACTTGTTCAGTTTATGTCTCAGTTGTTGAATCTTGTTATGTTCATACAAATATTTACACGTTAAGTTTGCTGAAAATAAACGCAGTTGACAGTGAGAGGACGTTTCTTTTTTTGCTGAGTTTAGATGAGTGTACCTAATAAACTGGCAACTGAGTTTATTCTTATTTGTTCTTTCATATATATACCCTTTATTTATTTGAACTATAATGTGTTCTCTGTAGATGAAGGGCGATGCTGAGGCGTTTGCTCTGGAGGCTAAGGGTCGTGCCGAGGCAGAGCAGATGGCTAAGAAGGCTGAGGCCTTTAAACAGTACGGGGAGGGAGCCATGGTGGACATGCTGCTGGAGAAACTACCACTGGTCAGTCACACTGGGAGTAGGACTGGTTCTACTGGAGACTGGGAGGGTGCATGGATAGGGAGAAGGATTGATGGGAAAGCGATTCAGTAGATACAGAGATGGAGAGTTTAAGCGGATGGATGGAGAGATGAAGAGATTGAATGGATGGATGGATGGATGGATGGATGGATGCATAAATGGTCAGATTCAGTGTATATAAAGATAGATGGATGACAGATTGATTAGATGACAGACAGACATGTACAGGTGTGGTCAAAAGTTTTGAGAATGACACAAATATGAATTTTCACAAAGTCTGCTGCCTCAGTTTTTATGATGACAATTTGCATATACTCCAGAATGTTATGAAGAGTGATCAGATGAATTGCAATTAATTGCAAAGTCCCTCTTTGCCATGAAAATGAACTTAATCCCCCAAAAACAGTTCCACTGCATTTCAGCCCTGCCACAAAAGGACCAGCTTACATCATTTCAGTGCTTCTCTCGTTAACACAGGTGAGAGTGTTGATGAGGACAAGGCTGGAGATCACTCTGTCATGCTGATTGAGTTAGAATAACAGACTAGAAGCTTTAAAAGGAGGGTGGTGCTTGAAATCATTGTTCTTCCTCTGTTAACCATGGTTACCTGCAAGGAAACACGTGCCGTCATCATTGCTTTGCACAAAAAGGGCTTCACAGGCAAGGATATTGCTGCTAGTAAGATTGCACCTAAATCAACCATTTATCGGATCATCAAGAACTTCAAGGAGAGAGGTTCAATTGTTGTGAAGAAGGCTTCAGGGCGCCCAAGAAAGTCCAGCAAGTGCCAGGACCGTCTCCTAAAGTTGATTCAGCTGCGGGATCGGGGCACCACCAGTGCAGAGCTTGCTCAGGAATGGCAGCAGGCAGGTGTGAGTGCATCTGCACGCACAGTAAGGCGAAGACTTTTGGAGGATAGCCTGGTGTCAAGAAGGGCAGCGAGGAAGCCACTTCTCTCCAGGAAAAACATCAGGGACAGACTGATATTCTGCAAAAGGTACAGGGATTGGACTGCTGAGGACTGGGGTAAAGTAATTTTCTCTGATGAATCCCCTTTCCGATTGTTTGGGGCATCCGGAAAAATGCTTGTCCGGAGAAGACAAGGTGAGTGCTACCATCAGTCCTGTGTCATGCCAACAGTGAAGCATCCTGAGACCATTCATGTGTGGGGTTGCTTCTCAGGCAAGGGAGTGGGCTCACTCACAATTTTGCCTAAGAACACAGCCATGAATAAAGAATGGTACCAACACATCCTCCGAGAGCAACTTCTCCCAACCATCCAAGAACAGTTTGGTGACGACCAATGCATTTTCCAGCATGTTGGAGCACCTTGCCATAAAGCAAAAGTGATAACTAAGTGGCTCGGGGAACAAAACATTGAAATGTTGGGTCCATGTCCAGGAAACTCCCCAGACCTTAATCCCATTGAGAACTTGTGGTCAATCCTCAAGAGGTGGGTGGACAAACAAAAACCCACAAATTCTGACAAACTCCAAGCATTGATTATGCAAGAATGGGCTGCCATCAGTCAGGATGTGGCCCAGAAGTTAATTGACAGCATGCCAGGGCGGATTGCAGAGGTCTTGAAAAAGAAGGGTCAACACTGCAAATATTGACTCTTTGCATAAACTTAATGTAATTGTCAATAAAAGCCTTTGACACTTACAGTGGGGAAAGAAAGTATTTAGTCAGCCACCAATTGTGCAAGTTCTCCCACTTAAAAAGATGAGAGAGGCCTGTAATTTTCATCATAGGTACACGTCAACTATGACAGACAAAATGAGATTTTTTTTTCCAGAGAATCACATTGTAGGATTTTTAATGAATTTATTTGCAAATTATGGTGGAAAATAAGTATTTGGTCAATAACAAAAGTTTCTCAATACTTTGTTATATACCCTTTGTTGGCAATGACACAGGTCAAACGTTTTCTGTAAGTCTTCACAAGGTTTTCACACACTGTTGCTGGTATTTTGGCCCATTCCTCCATGCAGATCTCCTCTAGAGCAGTGATGTTTTGGGGCTGTCGCTGGGCAACACAGACTTTCAACTCCCTCCAAAGATTTTCTATGGGGTTGAGATCTGGAGACTGGCTAGGCCACTCCAGGACCTTGAAATGCTTCTTACGAAGCCACTCCTTCGTTGCCCGGGCGGTGTGTTTGGGATCATTGTCATGCTGAAAGACCCAGCCACGTTTCATCTTCAATGCCCTTGCTGATGGAAGGAGGTTTTCACTCAAAATCTCACGATACATGGCCCCATTCATTCTTTCCTTTACACGGATCAGTCGTCCTGGTCCCTTTGCAGAAAAACAGCCCCAAAGCATGATGTTTCCACCCCCCTGCTTCACAGTAGGTATGGTGTTCTTTGGATGCAACTCAGCATTCTTTGTCCTCCAAACACGACGAGTTGAGTTTTTACCAAAAAGTTATATTTTGGTTTCATCTGACATTCTCCCAACCCTCTTCTGGATCATCCAAATGCACTCTAGCAAACTTCAGACGGGCCTGGACATGTACTGGCTTAAGCAGGGGGACACGTCTTGCACTGCAGGATTTGAGTCCCTGGCAGCGTAGTGTGTTACTGATGGTAGGCTTTGTTACTTTGGTCCCAGCTCTCTGCAGGTCATTCACTAGGTCCCCCCGTGTGGTTCTGGGATTTTTGCTCACCGTTCTTGTGATCATTTTGACCCCACGGGGTGAGATCTTGCGTGGAGCCCCAGATCGAGGGAGATTATCAGTGGTCTTGTATGTCTTCCATTTCCTAATAATTGCTCCCACAGTTGATTTCTACAAACCAAGCTGCTTACCTATTGCAGATTCAGTCTTCCCAGCCTGGTGCAGGTCTACAATTTTGTTTCTGGTGTCCTTTGACAGCTCTTTGGTCTTGGCCATAGTGGAGTTTGGAGTGTGACTGTTTGAGGTTGTGGACAAGTGTCTTTTATACTTATAACAAGTTCAAACAGGTGCCATTAATACAGGTAACGAGTCTAGGACAGAGGAGCCTCTTAAAGAAGAAGTTACAGGTCTGTGAGAGCCAGAAATCTTGCTTGTTTGTAGGTGACCAAATACTTATTTTCCACCATAATTTGCAAATAAATTCATTAAAAATCCTACAATGTGATTTTCTGGATTTTTTTTCCTCAATTTGTCTGTCATAGTTGACGTGTACCTATGATGAAAATTACAGGCCTCTCTCATCTTTTTAAGTGGGAGAACTTGCACAATTGGTGGCTGACTAAATACTTTTTTTCCCCACTGTATGGAATGCTTGTAATTATACTTCAGTATACCATAGTAACATCTGACAAAAATATCTCATAACACTGAAGCAGCAAACTTTGTGAAGACCAATACTTGTGTCATTCTCAAAACTTTTGACCACGACTGTAGTGTACTGTTACTGCAGTCCTGTGTGCTGCTGTTCTCTTCCTGAAGCTGCCATCACTCCTCCTGTCCTCTAGATAGCAGAGGAGATCAGCAGGCCCCTGTCCATGGCCCAGAAGGTTACCATGGTTTCCAGCGGCGGGGGTGAGGTGGGCGCGGCCAAGCTGACCGGAGAGGTTCTGGACATCATGACCAGATTACCAGCTGCCGTGGAGAAACTCACCGGAATCAACATTTCACAGGTCTGTGTGTATGCGTGCGCTGGTGTGTGTGGAAGAGAGGAAAATAGTGTGTGTGTGCGTATACAGCATGTGTATGTGAACATATTTGTCGACACCTACTGACATTCTCTCCCCTTCTTTCCACAGGTTGGCCTGTCCACTCGTATGGGCTGAGAATGGAGCCCAGTGACCTGGAACTCCATACTGCCTCCTAGTGCCTATAATTACTATTACTACTCCTAGTGTAGTCCTCTGTCTGTCTGTCTGTCTGCATGCCTGTCTGCATGCCTGTGTTAGTACTGTAGTCTTTCTTAGGGCATGTCACAACACTCTTAATCGGCCTCCCCTCTTGCTTCCTGGGCCTCGTTGGCACTGATCTGAAAACACAGGATGGGTCAAAGCTATATGTTGTAGGCCTACTGGGGGAGTTTCTTTCTCCTGGTCATTCATATCTCTGTTAGATCAGCTTGGATGAAGGAAAGGAGAGCACTTTGGACTAGCATGAAACGGCCTTAGTAGTTCTGGTAGTAACTAGCCTCCTCTCCACCATTTTGTACTCTCGTTCTCCCGTCAGTTATTCAGTTGTTTTTTATCACTGCTTCAAACCTACCTTTCTGTCTCCCTATATTACAGGGTTGGGTCCATATCAACTGTTAAACTTATATTTTCCTGCCTGTCACATAGTTGTATTTGTTTTTGTAATTCATAGAATTTTATTTCATTGGGTTGTGGTTGAGAAATTATGTTTTCATTCTCAGTGCCTTTTATTGTTCTTAGGAAATAATAGTGTGTATATGTATGAGGTCATCCATTTAATTGTTGGGTTTGTCAGCTGATTGTTTTGTCAACATTTGCAGTTGTTCTGTAAGGTAGTCTGCCTTGTTCTCAGCATGGTTGGCTAGCTAGTTATTATAATTTGCTTTGCAAATGAAGAAGAAATGCTCTTTACTTTCACTGTGAACATATCTTCATTTTTTCCCCAATCAGAATTGAGATAATTGTAATCCTGGTAGTCATGTTATTATACATAAACATGTTCTATCTGCTAATTTACCTCTGCATGCTCTGTGCATGCCTTAAAAAAGTATAATATCTCTGTCCACCACCTTATGGACAAGGTCGTTTTTGACTATGTGCTCCCCTAACAGTAGATCCTAGATCAGTCTATCTACTGATATCTCTAAGATAACCCTCTAGAATGGCCAGTGCCTTGTGTTTTAAAGTCTAATTAATACTATCAGTACAAGCCATATTACAATAGAAGCCAAGTTACATGCAGATTATGCTGTTTTAAGATTTGTGTGCTTTTTGCCATGACTCTGCCATTTGTGGGCGATGAAATCACAAACTATATGGTGGGTTGGCACTAAACCTCTTCTCTCTGTTGGTACAATACTGGCATAGACACAATCAATGGAGTACCGAATCTGATGGTACCTAATCTCAACTAGTTACCAAAGCAAAAAAGAAGGAACTACATATTCTCTGTTAAAGTGTTGTTTATCAAACACAACAGACAGATTGTCATTATGGCTTAGTTCTAGTGTGTTAAGTGTGTTTCTAAACCCTAGACTTATTAGACGGACAGGCCTTAGATCTGAGCTTCTACTGTGCTATAAATGTATAAAGGCAGAGATTTTCTGTAAATGTATGTGAAGTAATTGGAAGGAAGTGTGTGGCAGGAGGGAGGGAGCAGACTGGGGGTTTCCTGCTGAAGGCTAACCTCAGTCTCTTTTATCTAGGTCAGGTGTCACGTGGTGCCTGATGAACATGCTGCTTGAGGTGAAGGTATATGTGTAGAATAAGGGAACGGAGAAACTAGCCTGGGTGCCAGTCTGTTTCTGTTCTCTTGTCAACTCCTTATGGAACTGTCATGTCAAACATGTTTCCCTTGACAATGACAATGGAACAGGCAAAAGCACAAACATATCTGGGACCAGGCTACAGACTCTACTGTAGTGGAGATCCATTAAGTGGTATGGTCCAGTTTGGTGTACAGGGACCTTTGATAGACTGGAGTAGACGATATACATTTTAATCACAGATGTGTTCATTAATCAGGAGCTATCCTTTCGTATCCTAATCTTATCATTAGTATTGTCTATTTTTCTAGATGTTCTATGTTGTGCTGATCACATCCCTGTTTGATCCTTTTGTAGTATAGGGTTGTTGTAGTTGTTAGGGACTTGTTCTATACCACTGCTCAGGATTCTAGGAGCTACTTCTCTCTACCTGATTGAATACCCCAAAGCTTACATGCTATCTGGCTGTCTATGCATTTTGTTACCACCAAGTGCCTGACTAAGTTGAAAGATTCCCATTTTTCTCTCAACCTAAAGGCTAAACTGTCACCCCAGGTTAAACATTGTAACAACCTATAGAGGCGTGCTATGTCCTAAAGATATGAATGAATGCCAATTTCGCCAAACCAATACTACTGCTTTCACTTATGCGCACACCTGTATATTACATCATAATGTCAATGATTTGTGACTTTTAGCCTTTTCTATGCTTTGTTGACTTGTCAAAATAATACCTGTCCTTCTGTGTAGTGTAAACTTTGTATGCAAGTGCACTAAGTTATTAATATTATAAATATATTTGGAATGAAATTATTGTAACATTATATAAACACAAACTCTGATTTCCTAACTTAAACCCTTTGTCGTGTGTTTAATGACAAGTAGAACATTCGTCCTTGCTTTATTTGGAAAGGTTTACTTTATTAAAACTACAAAAATAGACAACACAATGAATTACAATGGCATCAAGGTAAGGTAGCAAGCTTTCTACAAAGGAACAAAAAGGAGACCCCAACTGTAACAAAGAAATTCCATATATTAGTCAAAGAAATAAAAATTATGTCCTTAGAATATGTACACATCATCAAGTTCAGCTTCAAAGACAAAGGACGACATCACTGACAAGGAGATTCTAAGTACATATACAGTAAATATATATACAAATATGGGTTAAGTTGGGCTACAGTGTATCAAAAAAGGTCAATCGAGAAGCACATACTGTATTCAAATTCATATGGCACAACCATTCACACTCATTCAATCAGTAAACAAGGATTACTTGATCATCTTAATTAAACCTGACACATTCTACAGAACTACATCAGTAAGGCAGATTCCACCATGGTCAGCTTATGTTGGGAGAATGAAGATGAAAGGTCACTGACAAACTAAAAGGCTTTGGATACAGTTGCTAGTGTGCCTCATGAGTGTTACGTTCTTTGTCATGTTGATGTTTTAACCATTAGGTCTGATCGTTTCTCTATTGCTGGGTATCTATGTAGCACTGGCACAAAGTTTGGGGATGAGCATTTGGTGTACTCTGCCTTTCCTCATAATGCAGACAGGTTTTCCAAACATTTATTTTCCTCCTTGAGAACACCTTTTATGAGGCGGTTCTATTTGAACAACTCTACTGATATGAATCATGAATAAATGATCAACTTTAAGTAGATAAATCACAAGAAGACATTGACCTGTTTTTATAATGTTTAGGCCTGCATCTATTTTGACCAGCAATGCCATGTTTGACTGCTATAGGTTCTAACGCCAAGTGGATACAGACTGTCTGTACGCTCCAATATCCATACTAGCATACTAACATGATACATACCAATGTTGGGGAGCTACTCTGAAAGTGTCGTTAACTAGTTGTTAAAATGTAACTACGCCCCAAGACTGGTCACTACTCTAGTATTCCAGTGCTGGTATTGGGGCATGTGGGCAGAAACAGCCTTTAAAGTGCAGCTGGTAGTGTATTGGATATATACATGAACCTCATTTCTGCATCTGGGTCACTGAGTCAGACCCAGCTCCGCTATCCATCGCTGGTAGAAAATCATCACATCGCTCACCTCACTTACACATGGAAATGGTAATTTACATATCATATCAGCCCCCACCCCCCTCTAGTCGTTGATCCATCTGTCCCATCCATGTTATGCTGTTCCATCAGCTAGTCACCAATCACAACTGTCAGTTTCACATGTGATGTCACAGCACAGGCAGTGTTGTCTGTCTCTCAGTGGGTGTTGCTGTGGGCTGTACTATTCCAGCTCCCATCAGGAAGGATGTCTCTCTTCTGTTATGTTCAAATCTCATTGGCTGTAGCCGTTCACAGTGCACCTCCCCTACTGTACCTGTTCTCTCAGTCAGTGAGGCTCACATCATGTGACACCAGTCAGTTCTCTCTGGCTCTGGAGGTCCAAAGGGTTTCAGTTTGGAGGTCTGGTAGAGTAACAACAATATCTCTATGGTAACAACCACACACGCTTCCTGTCCTGGAAAGAGTCCAAGAGTCCAGATCAGTTCACATCAATCCACTATAACTCCATAGTTACAGCTCAGAGTGTGGATCAGTTGTGATAGATATGAGTGAGACTGCTGAATGAAAGGCTTACGGAGTGGTGAGATACTGAGTTGGGTGGAGAGGGAGGCAGAATGTGGCAGAATATAGTCACAACACCAGCCTAGTCTGGGCTGAGCAGCTGACTAAATGACTGACTTGACAGCATTGTGTGTGTGTCTGTCTAATGCCTGGGGTTACAGACTGCTGGTGGGACACCTGTTGCTGTGTCTGCTACTGGCCTGTGTATGACATACCATCATCTTGCTCGCCAGACTTGAAAACTAAGATGTAACAGGGGTAAGCCAGAGGAGTATAATGCAATATTCAGCCACACTTGTCTGGTTCCATGAGACTAGAGGCTGAACCCTAGACTGGGGTCTGGGACAGAGGGGCTGGGAATAAGGATCTGGGGCTGGGAAGAACTGGGTTATATACTGAAAACTAGTGATACTGGGAACATCCTGGAGTTTACTGGGACATGCTAGTTTTATATATAGTACTAAGACAGCGAACCCTGTGTGCAATTTCATCTCTGTGCGAAAAATGTGTGCGTACCATTTTGAGATCGAGAAATGTTGACAGTATGACAGTACATATAAACCTTCACCAGTAACCCTAGCACATTATTATTTTAAATACCAAAAAGATTAGCATGTCAAGTAATAAAATATCTGTATAGGGCGATGTGTTATTACGTTTATCCCAAAATGTTAATATGCTATTAAACTATGATCACATTTCAGAGTATTAAAGTCTGATATTGATTCATAATCAGATTGGTATTGTTGATATTCATTTGATAAACCTTAATCAACGTTACACATTCATCTACATCAACAAGCATCGTCATATCACCTCCCCATACAGGTCTTACAGCTTCCCTATGTTAGCTAGCAGACCACTGACGGACCATTGGTGGTCCTGTAAGCACTATGCAGAATCAGATAGCAACCCACCACCGCACCAACCATTGTGTTGTGTTACATTCTTATTAAGACAATCTAGAGTCTACTCAGGGGGGGTAAAGGGGTATGACTTGGGGTCTGTCTCGTGGGAGTGAAAACCGAACCAGCGGTGTCTCAGCCCCATCCGCCCATCATAGAGAAATCCAAAATATACTGCACACCTACTCAGAAATTGAAAAAACTTTAAACCAGGGGTACCGGGGGGAGGAAAATTAAAAAATTTTACCCATTGTCTTTTAAAAAGGGGTGCCCCTGGATGGGGTTCAAGGGGGGAAAAATTTGGGGGCTAAAAAGAAAAGGGGTTTTATAAAAACTTGAAAAATG